GTGAGAGCCTTGTAAAGCGTGGGCTCACCCCTATTGTTGTCAGAGCCTTTAGGAGTTGTCTCTGGCCCACCATCCCCATAGCAGAAGCCACACAGGACCCTGGACCATGGGAGCTTTGGTGAGCCTCCCCTACCTCTCCACTGTCATGGAGCCTTGCCACCTGTGCCCCTCCCTATGCCATTGCTGCTCAATCTGGTGATCACTGGGAGCTTAAAAATAGTCAAAATGAAGGAGTGAAAGGAAATCTCAGACCTCCAGCACACCCAAAACAAGTCCATGAGTCAAGAACACAGAAGAACTTGGAAGTCATATGCATAAAATTTCTGAAATGATAATAACTACAGTGAAGAAACAACTCCATCAGGCTATAGCACAAGTCATATCAGAAATAATCTCTCAGGTAACAAAAAGCAATAACAATAATCAAGAAAGATATGCTCAGCACATCTAGAAAAGACTTAGATTTAAAAAATGCAGAGAGGGGCCAGGGAGATGACTCAGTGGAATAAGCGCTTCCCTGGCAAGCGCAAGGGCCTGAGTTCAATCCCCGGTTCCGCCAAAAAAATAAAATAAAATAATAAAAATAAAAAATGCAGAGAGAGGACAATGGAAAAACGATGGTTACACTGAACAAACATTACAGGAAAGAATTAGAATGAATGAATCAGATGCAAAAAATGCCACAAAGCTACCTAAATTTTGAACTGACAATTACACTAGATTTAAAGAAAGCAGACAGACCTTCATTTCTATCACGATTACTTCAAGGTTGAACATAAAAATGCTATTATAATATTCTCAATGTTAGAAAGTTCCCTACTATACAGAAATATTTTATCATTGTCACTTTACAGTATTGCAAAATAATTTCATATATGATCTTTGATACACGAAAGCACAAAATATGAGGAATGGATTAGACAAATCAGACAATATGTATCTGCTCGTCATGATACGCAAGCTTGCATTTTATCAATAGCCAGTATTTCCTACCTCACAGCCAGTGGCACAACACTGAAGACTATATATTTGCAGATACTCGATAGCATTTCTAGCTATGGGGCCATGCACACTGCATTTTCTGCAACATATTCTTGGTAAATCTTGGCAAGCATAGGGTAGTTTTTGAAAATACAAAACGCTGGAGTTAAACCCAGAGGTCAGCTTCATATCTAAGCCACATAAACACCTATCTCTAGATCTTATTTAAAAAACTATTCAATGTACAAAGTATTCATAATAGAAAAAAGTCTATCTGCAAAAGGAATGATGCCCCCTTACTTGTTCTCCACTAAATAATTCTCTTTATTTACAGATTAAATGTAAGAAACCTACTAATATCAGGTATGAATATGCATTTTAAAAACATCATGGAAAAAGGCCACTAATTTATACAGAAGCCAGGCAATTCTCCCGTTGAGATGAAATATTCTCATATTAAACAGTATGACCTAACAAGATCTCTACAGAACAATACTCTAAAAGCTTAGCTGTTAAATGTTTTTCCTTCCAAAGGCTCTGCTATGCAACAATTTATAAGTAGTTGAGATTATATTATATCTGATAACTGTTTAGTATTTAGTACTGGGTCACAGACTGTAATACTCAACATTCAGAAAGTGATCCAAACCTTTGTCATGTATGTAAAATTTGTAAGATATGTTGAATTACAATTCAGCCCCAATTGACGATATACAGGCATCTCAAATCCTTGTGGAAACGTTGAGATCTATGGGGACATTGTTATAAGTACCACATAAAAGAGTCCATGTATTTCTTGCATGTAAAAAAAAAAAAAAAAACAAATAGAAATGCAAACCTAGATGAGTAAATCAAATAGTACACAAACAGTGTAAAGCAAAAATTGACATATTATGGGAACTAAAAATGATAAAGCATTCTATAGTCTACTTATTGGAATATGATATAAGCAATATGACTGCCACTAAGATTCACATAAAAAGTCAAGGTTAAGCAACTGGGATGGTTTTGTGCACAATCCATAGTAATAAAATCCAAATTCTGAAGGCCTCCTACCAGTGCTGCTATTTTCTAACAAATCCACTGTTGAAAGTGTGGATCAGAAGAGGCAACAGAAGATGACATAATGTGATGCAAAATAGGACTTAAAAAATTCTTGCTACATGTAGTGGAACATGCCCTAATCCCAGCATTCTGGGAGGTTCAGGCAGGAGGATTACAATGAGAGACTTAGAAAGACCCTGTGTCAAAAAAAAAAAAAAGAAAGAAAGAAAAAAAGAAAAAGGAAAGGAAAAGACAAAGAATGAATGAATGAATGAAAGAAAAAGAGAAAAGAAAGGAAAGAAAAAAGGAAAAGGAAAAGGAAAGGAAA